CAAACCCACTGAATTTTAAATCTCAATCTTCCTAAATTGCTTTAACATATTTCTATTCCTTCAGTAAAAATTTCTCTGAAAATAAGTTCCATGTCTATAGCAAATGTTGAACTTACTAAACACTTCTCTTTCTGATATCTGTAATCTTCAAAGAGATTATTTAGATTTGCTATGTGTGTCTTTCCAAAAGAGATGGTATTTCTGTTTTAGCCTCTCGGCTGTTGTTTTTTCAAAGAGAAGCAATAGACAACTCTTTTCATACTGGTCTTTAATAGGAAAAGAGAACTAGCCCAAATCCTATCTGAAGCAAAGATCACAATGCAGCCACTAAATGAAGCCTCTAGGAAACTGCTGAGGTGTTCACCACCTGGGTCAGGCAACTGGAGGGGGATCAGTGTCAGGTACAGGTAAATGAGAAGGTAGAAAAGGAGAACTGTGAGCAGTAAGCCAAGAAACCTACAATGCACTTCTTACAAAGAGCTGTAAAATTCACATTTATTTTGTAAGTATGGGATAGATGGGTTATTTCTACATATAGAGGTGCCCAACTAAAATCAAGATAAGTGATATTAATGTCCTATGGTCAGTATTATTGAACCTCGAAAGCAATAAAGTATGAGTCGATAAATATTACATTTGCAACATAGTTAACATTCTTCTACTGTCTCTGGCACTTATTACACATTGTAACCGCAAGTCTACAATACATTATTCATATTTGGGGTGTCACTGAGTGATGGATTGCTATAAGAGAGGCTGTCCTTTAAATAAATCAACAAATAAAAATGCAAATGTTAACATTTTCAGCCACAACTTTTTCCATCTTGAATGGGGAATGAAAATTTCACATTATATCGACAGCCAGCAGAGAGAACAATTAACAACCTACACTGTGAATAAGAGAGATTAATTTGCCAATGTCTGGTTTTATCACTTGCATATGGAACTACATTAGACTTTTTGCACTGCTGGCTTTCTCAGGGAGTAGGCAAAACTTGCGTCTCCTACCACTTTCAGAAACTAACTCACCCCCCTACTCCAAACACCCTTTAAATCTCTTTAAATGTTCCTAAGTTAAATCTGGAATGGAAATTTTCTGCTCCTTTTGAATCTTGAGTGGTGTCTGATCTTGAGAAAAAACAATTCTAGTACTTTGGCAGTGCTTGCTTAGATCTTACAGTCTAAAGAACTTCAGAAATTGTCTTGATATTTGTATTTAAGCATCCAAAATGCAAAGATGTGAAAATCAACTACCACATAAGTAAGACAAACCTTGAATCTCATCATTGTCATATTTCCTAACACTCAGAACAACAGATCTACTTTAGACAATTCCAGTGTGCATTATTAAGTATACAATCCTGCACATTATATTTTACATCAGATATTATTTTGCTTAAAAGTCCCTGAGTACACATTCACCTGAGATGGGCTGGGCAATTGGGCAAATAGTTTTGTTTTTAAAATGTCCCTAAACATGAATTTACACAACACAATCTGTTTATAAGAACTTCAACAGGCCACTGTAGTCTAACAGATAATAATACAGCTCAAATACAGCATTCGTATTGCAAGAACTTCTAAATCTCTTCTTTTATTGGCCACAAGAAACTTCCCTCTAAGAAAAAGCGTTCAGTAAGTATGAAAGTTTTGATTTGAAACTGCATCCAAAAACCCAAGACTTAATGCTGAAATCTCTGACTATCACACAGTCCCTTCATTTACCTAACTGTTCTTGAATTCGCTTTGTCCAAAGTGAAAAACACTACAGGAGAATTATCTGTTTCCATGGTGAGCAAAACAAACTTGGCCTGTGTCTTTTTAGGTGCTTAATTTCTGCAGTGTTATAGGACTTACTGTGCCAAACTCCACACTACGTGGGGAGAGCCTGACAATTGCAACAGAGTTGTAATCAAATTAAATGGTATTTCAGAATGTACAATTCACAACTTCCTTTTTTTTTATTCCCCCAGAAATAGCTGAATACTTTAATTTAGTGCAGTTTCCCTCCTGTATGCAATACAACATTTGTTTCGCTGAAGTAAGTACCTGAGAATAACTAGAATAAATAAGGTAAGATCTAGTTTATATAAAAATTTCATTACCAAATGAAAGCATCAACATGCCAGTACTTCCCCTGTGCTTCACTACTTCCCCTGTGCTTCCGCCTCCAGTTCAGCAGAAACACAGACACTCTTTTCTAGGCAAACACCAGTTATGCAAAAATGCAACTGGTCACCAAAAAGGTAATATTTAACACAATCAGAGTAACCATGCTTTAGGAACAAACTCTTCCAAATTTACCCAGCCCCAATCTGTGAATTTTTTTTTCCCAAATATATTTGCTTTGGTCTAGATAAATGAGCACATGGATTAGAAGAGCTTTCCAGACCTGCTGTGAACATAATTTCAAGGGCCTCATGCAGGTGTAGACACTTGGCTTAAGAACACTGGATAACCAAACTTGCAGTGTTTGGCCATGCTATGGAAGGCAGCGATAGTCATGCACAAAAGCCTGACAGGTAAACAAATTCACTATTAGCCCAGCTCCAGATGCCAGATAAGGAAAAGCTGAGGTTTTCTTTTCCTTTCAGAGATATCACTGAAATCACCTTGTACACACTCATTTTGTGAGACTAGTCCTTCTACAGGTCTAGCACTAAGGCTCTCAAGGTTTATATCTACCTTCCAGGGACACTTACTCCTTGTTCATGACATGATTCATTCTGAGACAGGGGAGGAAGTAGGACTGCAGCAATTCTTTCTCAAGCAGGAGGTAGCTGTAACGCTCTGAAGCCACCAGTTGAGCCCTGCCAAGGCAGGCTATCATGCCAACACATCTACCTGCCATGCCTGCTTACCAAAGACGCCCTCCCCAGAAGCTGTGCTAGCACCCTGATACCTCTCGCTGCCAGGGAGCTTCTGTCGCTTTCCAGCACCTTCTCTCTGGCAGGCTTTGCATTGCTGCTACTGCTGGGTGCCAGGGTTTGTGCTAGTTAAAGCTGGCACAAACAAGAGTTGAATCTAGTCCTATAAATTTAAATAGTCAAAAGTAATTAGGTTCACATGTACTGCTGAATAAATAAATTTGCTCTTAGGCTAGGGCTTTGTGTTGCAAGTTTCAGATCTGTGCCAACTGTTGTGGTTAAGCTGTTAACCCCCCCAAATCACAGATCATAATGAACATGCTGACAAACCCTAACTTTAGTGGCACAAAAGCAGCAATAATCCTCAATATTGATTAATTTAGTTAGTTAAACCTGCAGTCTAAGCTTATAACCATTCAGTGATAAATTGAGACTGACCTGCTGCCCAAGCAGGTTTTTCAGTGAAGGATAGAATCAGCTTCAGGTTTCCCCAGAAATACTTGTCCATTTGACATTGTTAATTAGAGAAGGCCAGGAGTAAGGGAAAACACAACATGGCTGTTTAACCTAGTTAATAATACCTACAGCACCAATGGTAGGAAAGAAAGAGAGGAAACATGGGAGAAAGTGCCCAGAAATATAGGATTTTTCATCAACTGGTAAAATAATACTCTAAAGATGACAGCTAATCAGACTCCTTTTACTGATCACTTTACGGTATGATTTCTAACAGCATACTTCAACAAATATTTTACTCCCCTCTGTGGAAAAGAATAGGCCATCAATCCTCTTGAATAAAATTTCTTTTTCTGAGAAATCTTCATATGATGTGCATAATTATATCTACTCCTCAGTGCTTGAATGGAATCTCAACCTAGCACTATTCGACAGTATCAAGCAGTATCTTTACACACACTTTATCTGCTATGCCTGCCTTGCAAAGGTAACCACTGCTTCTAAGAGAAATGGTTAGGCAATCTTGTGGTTTCTGTTAGTTTAAACAAACAGCTATTTGTGGGAAACAGCCCAATCTCACTCAGTTCTTAAATCCTCCAAGAATTATCATCCCTTCCATCAGAAGAGAAAAAAAAGTTGTGTTATGAAGAGAAAAAAATTGTTATGTTTCCATAACAAGTAAGTACAAATTTGTCAATATTGATAGTGATTTTTCACCTATTATATATCACAAGTTCTCTCAGAAGATAGAAATAAACTGCCAGCTGCTGCCAAGAATACATGGATAATATTAAGCATACATTTTCCAAGTCCACTGGGCCAAGAAAAGAATAAATCTGATTCTAGCCCTCTCATCCTCCAAGAAACATTTAACTCCTCTCATGAACAGTTGCACATTCCTGTTATGCCACTGTACTGTTATCTAACTAGTGGTATAAAACAGTACAAGTTCATATTTCAATCTGCTTTTTTGTTGCTATACTGAAGATTTTATTATGAGAAAATGTGGGATATGATAAAGAAAAGCAGGGATCGTATGCCATGCTTCTAGGCTGTTACCTCTAGAAATGTAATCCTGCCTGAAGAAGGGAAGTTGTTTTCAGACCTATAAGCGTAACAACAATGCTGCTGTTAGTTTTTTCATTGGAACAGAAGTGATAATGCTGCTTTTCCAGTGTATTTAGTGCAGACATATAGTATAATCAGGAATTGCTGACTTAATGTGATTTTGTTGCTTGTCATTAAACATAAAATAACTCTCATACAAAACATTTTAAAAGAAATGTCATTTGATAAAAATGGGAGTGGGGGAGGAGGCAGGCCAATGGCAAGGGATTAAAATCTTCAAGCAAATGTAAAACCTAACAGGGTTAACACTGTCCATTAAAATTATTTACAAAGGTATTTAATGTGTCAGGACTTGAAACATAAAATACTTTCTGTTCAAAATCTAAGTAAAATTAAAATGTTAGAACTTGGCATATTCTTGGGTTTTTTATTCTAACATGCAACTTAAGGCTTACTATAAATGTCAAAAGGATATGGCAGGTTTTAGCTTATACTATTCAGCTTGTGCTAATATGAAACATCATAGAAATTCAGTCACTTCCCTGCATCTGGGAGAATTTGGTGGTTGTGTTTGCAGGATCTTAAACCAGAGATCACCCAGCAGCTTACCGTGAAGAGTCATGCTGAATCGGTGATACGGCTGTGGTTGCAGGCACTTTGCTGCTGCCCATCAACCCACGAGAAATGGCTGCATCCTTCCTAAGTCCTGAAGTTGTCGCTGTGGAATGAAGTGAAGACAAACCAGGCATCAGAAGCTAGAGATTTTGGAATAGATGTTTCTCAATTCTACCTTACTGGGACATTGGAACAAAAAACTGAAACAGTTTTTCAGTGAGAAATATACACAGAGAAATGACAGAGAGTGCATCAGTTGATAGTACTGTGCACAGCATCCTTTTCAGGACCATGCAGAATCAAATCTGTAGAATAAGACACACTCTCCAGTCCCCATCTTACTACCCAGAGCTTGACAGACTTGCATGGTTATTAATTGTTAAGTGGCCCACGGGATTCAGCTTGTTTCACAGATGTAGTTCTCATGACATGCTTTAAGATGTTAATTCTCCAAGTGTAAATATCACTGCAATAGTATTTCATTTAAATAAAATAGAACTGAGAATCCGTTCCTTCTTCCCACCTCCAAGTAAGTCTTGAATTAAAAAATAATTTAGGTTTAAAAGTGAAGTTTAGAGGTCATGCCTCCATTCAAACAGCATCAAGAGGTTTCAGACATTTATCACATTAGGTGCTGAATATCTCACTGATAGAACCTCTCTGGGAAACTCTTCTGGTTCCACTGTTTGACCAGCCTCATAGTCAAAAATGTTTCCTGTATAGCTAATCAGAATCTTCTGAGTTGTGACTTTTCCCTGTTGTCTCTTGTGTGGCTGATGATGACTTCGAAGAAGGCTCATTCCCTCTTCTCTACACCCTCTCCTAAGGTAGCTAAAGCAAGAAGCAAGATCCATGCTGAGTCGTGTCTTCTTACAGCTGAATGCACTCAGCCTTCTCAGTCTCTTGCTTCAGCCCTATGGCTGTCCTGGCTGCCTCTGCCAGACTTCCTACAGTTTGTCAGTGCTGTTTGTCTGTGTTCTGTGGAGTCCCAGACTGGACACAGCATTTATGGACACAGTCTCACTGAGCTAACTGGGGGTAAATATCATTTCAGCACTCTGATGACCACACTTGTATGATTATGGCCCAGTAAAAGGTCCATCACACAGGCACATTACTGACTCACTGCTGTTTAGCAGGACACCCCATTCTTTTCTTGCAAAACTGCATTCAGGGTTTCTTCAGTGTCAGTTCCATCCAGCTGAAGGTCACTGGCATTTCCCTTTTTCCTAAAAAAGGTTCTGTCAAATCATTTTCCCAACTTCTTAAGGTCCCTTGAATACTGTGCCCTGTTCTCCAGCACACTGACTGCTTCCCCAAGCCTGCAAACTTACTGAAGGTGCATCCTGTCCCGCTGCCCAGGCTGTTGATGTTAAGCAGCTAACCACTATGAACTGGATGCCAGATGGACTGAAGACAACCCTTGAAGGCTGGTGGTTCAGACAACTTTTCATCTGCTCACCTGAGAACTGAGTTTCATTGATCAGATTTAGTAAGACAGATAGCATACATGTAAATAAGAGGTAAAGGGAAATAGGAAAATTAGGAGCTACCTGATCTACCACACAAAAACCTGTGAATTTGGGCTTTTTAAATCTAGCCTAATTAGCTATGTGCAACAAACATCACTTAGCTAGAGTCAGAATAGGGACAACTAAACATATCAGCAAAAACTGAAGTCAAACCAATGTTTAGCTCCTTATGTAACCCTGTGATGACCAAATATTTCTCAGCTCTGCGAACAGAAGCATTATCTATCAGCCATGCTGCAACAAGAAGCACCACAAAGTTGTAATTCTAGCTTCAGTGTAAAATGTACAATGGCCAAGGAATTATTTAAAAAATGCTTTGATCTAAGATTTATACAAATATATACATTTGAATAAATCCACATGTTTTAAGATGTATTTTAGGGAGAATAACAAAAAAAAAGTTATCACCCTGCTATAATGAACTGTATTTCAGCACCATGCAGTGAAAAAAATCTTGCCTAACAAAGAGTTAATTATCAGTGAAGGAAGTCTGGAAATATCATGGGGATATATGCTGATTGTGTGTCCCTGGTAACTTGATAGTGTGCCAATTCATGATGAGAAGAGTGGGTACGCATATAAAGACTGGAAGCATCTTGCTCAGAGTTTTGACTTTATGATAGAATAAGAGATATTTAGAAATCATTTAATGTGACAGTGGAATGAGGCAGCTGAATTCTAAGAAACTAACACCAAAGTAATATAAATCTTGTTAACACAGGAGAAAATATTCAATTGCTAATACAAGACAAGGCTGGCACACCATCAACATACTACATCCACAGAAAATGAGATGTATCTCTGCAAAAAAAGACAATATATGGACTCAGAAGTGGCCAACACAGCCTCAAGGGGACTGTTCAAATACCCAAGTTTGAAAATATTACCAGACCTAGAAAAAGAAAACAAGAAAAGGAACCCAGCAGGAATTCACTGCAGCTGTTAGGCTGCACAGACATAAAGCAGAGGCATAAAGAAATCCCAAATAAATGTATATTTAAAAAAAAAAAAAGTTTAAAAATACATCTTGGAAAAGGCATGCAAGTCTTTTGAGGAAAAAGAAACACTCAGGAACAAGCAAATATATAACGATGATTAAATCAATAAAATTCCCAAAAATGTCCAGGCTACTACTAATTTTAAAATATATTATGAGAAAAAAAATAAATAAGGGAAAATTGGCAAGCAGAGGATAATGAAGACCCTGTTGATGTATAATACCTGTCTATATAAAGCTGATGAAAAGAAACTACCAGGGGGGAAAAAAAAGATACCAAATCTTTAGTCTGAAGGATATATATTTCAGGGCTAAAGGGAATTAGTTAATGAATTTATGAAGTGACTGGTAATTATTTATGGAAAGTCATAGAGAACTGGGGTGATACAAATGACAGCAAATTAATTAGATTGCAGGTGTTAGAAGACAGCATGAGACTGGAGACATTGCAGATGATCTAGAGAAGCAAGAAATGTGGAAAAAGATAGACACATTTACCCCTGGAAAAAAAGAAAAAACTCTTCCATAGTGTGGTAATTTAAATCCTGACACCAATGGAAAGAACCTACAGCAGCAAAAATTCACAAAAAAAACCCATAGATATAAGCTTACAAGGCAAGCTACCCTCAAAGCAATTATAAATGTCTCCTAAATGGTAATGTTAAGAATACTATTTTCAATTTGGCTAACTTGGTACAAGATTATTTAAAGTAGATTAAAGAATCATTTGAGAAAAGTCAAATAGCCATATATTTCTGCTTGAAAAACAGACAACTAAAACATTATGAAAGTGGGGAAATACAGCAGTCTATATTTTAGAAGTGTAAACATTAAGAATGAAGAAATATGGATGAGGCTGGTTCAAGCAGCAATGGAATGAAAGCAAGCAATGGGAAATCTAGGTTGATAATCATAAAAGAAATCTTTATGACTTGAATAATAGTAATATTCATAAGACTTAACATTTATATAGTACTTCACATCTTCAAAGCACTTCACTAATATTAACTAATTGCTCTATTCAATTGTACGGAAGCGTCTTCCCTCAAGGGAAGATGTCCCAGATCCTGAATCCCTAAGAAGCTACATCAGAAAAACTACTGAAAAACAAACACTATCTAGAGAAATCAGCCCCTGGAAAAGTACAGGGCTAAAATGAGCTAAAATAATTTTTCTTCTCTGGCTTTTTCTTTTGCATATAAAAAAGGAAAGTGTGCACACTATACAACATCATGCAGAAGTTATGTCCAGCAAGAAGAAACAAAGGAGAAAACTGTTCTTTCGTTTCAATGCAGAGTACTTCAGGAAGTGTTCAGTAAAGATGAATACTTTAAACAGAAATGTAGCTAATTGCTGAATATTGCACAGTGCAATGGATCTAAGTTTCCCAGCCTCACAGCAAAATTTTCAAGAGCAAAAAGGAAGAGAAACACAAGCTTCTGTACTCCAGTGCTTTTTAACTGGACAAGTTCTTAGCTTTTAGTACACGTTGACATAGCTGTTGGTGACACCAATAAAAACAATTTACTGCTGAAAGGATCTAAGACTTCGGGATTGCTTCAACTACTTAAAGTTTTGCTGGCAATACTAAAAAAGTTTGACTACAAGACACAAACACCTGCTGAAGCACAGGCATAAAAACTAAGGAGCAAGCAGAAACAGAAGTCAAAAATCAACAATGAGGGAATAAAAATTGATTTCCTAAGTTGCTCCAGTAAGCTTCCACCCTCAAAAGAGAGCAGATGCAACCCTTTCCACTCCACAAGGTGAAGGGACCACATTAACAATGCTCTTCTCCCCATTACTAACCATTGTCAGGGAGAAAGAAAAAGTACACTTGATAGAAAATCACCATTTTCAAACCCACTGTTGTCACAGCAAGTGAGCAGTCCTGTAGGCAGGAAAGCCTTCCACCATTCCAGGATGAGGACAGCTTCCTGTTCAATAATTTTAAACCTGATACAAGTGCCTGTGCTGCGCTGGAGAGACACTACTACTGATACAGCCACCATTCCTGGTGGTACAGCAAGCCCAAGGGCTCAGATAACTTGCACTGCACTAAGGAGTGCTTGGATAGAGACAACATCCTGCAAAACATATAAACAGACCAGACTAATACCATCATAAGAAAAAATAAACCTCTGTAGCAATAGGTCAGCATCTGATGGTTGAGAAGTTTTCACCTGAACATGTTTCTGTACACAGCACTACTGTGTTCCAACCAAAAAGCCACCTTCAGTTATGTGGCTAAATTACTTTAAGCTTCATGCCTCAAGATATCACCTTGTGGATTTCACTCCCCTTTCTCATACTGCATTGAACCAGAAATCCCAGGTCAGCAGCAGATGAGAAAGGACAGCAAAAGAAAGGACAGAGCCAACTAAGCCCAGGCTATTCAGAATTAAAAATCTTGACATTGTGTCCTGGTGATCCCCTAAGATGGAAAAAACACTTTACAAGTACGTTTGTGTGCTTGCTAAAGGAGTCCAAATATATAACAGAAGGAAGCCAATTAAAAAGGTACTAAATACAGAAGACTTCAACTTCAGTGATTAGTGCTAGGTAATTTGCCTTGTGATAAACAACCATTCAAATCAGTAATAGAGCTGAGGTTGTTCCACAGCTTGAAAGCATTCCTCTGAACTTTATCAGCTATCACAGCAAGTGACAATGTTTGTAAGTTAAATTTTGCAATGCAGCTCTATACCATAAAAACCAGCAATCCCAATAAGTGCTTGCAAAAGATGTCCACCATCTTAAGAGATCATGCTGACCGCTACAATCACTAAATCAGCAGAGGTGCAGCTCAGTTGCTATGTGCAATAGCCAGATGCAGCTTGTAACTTCTCCTCAGTCCTACAAAATGAAATGAATGAATGAATGAAGAAGAGACCAGATTGGATATTTTCCCCTGAATCTATGGAAGATAAATTACTTTTGGAGACTACCCCAGTCTAAGGAACAAAACCCACCATCCAGCTGTGAAAAATCCTTGTTTCATCACTGCAGCATAGAGAAGGAGGGGGGCAGAAGGAAGAGGAAAAGAGAAGAAAAAAAAATTGATAGCTGAAAAAAACCATAAAAGAAAACCATCAGTGAAAATTGCCCCTGAAACTTTGCAGAATTGTAACGGCTTTCTCTTGCTTAAATTGATTGGTGTAGCAATGTTATAAAATGACTATTAGGATTCATTGTGCACAACAGAAAGTGTGAAATGTCAGCAGATTATACAGCAAAAGTAATGGGTCCTGAACCCCTGTTAGTCAAAAATGATTTTGTTTCAAATTAGAAATTGATTTTTTTGGACACAAGCCCTTTACAGGCTTCCAACTTTTGTAGCTGTGCCTTGGCAGAGATTAACCTCAGCCACTGTTTGGGTCCAGGCTGATGATACCCTTTTGAAAGTTTCTTCACAGGAGCTGTTTTTTAATGTTGGTACGGTCTTAACCAATAACACAAGTTATTTGTTCCTTTGAGAACTGCACCGCATTTCTTCTCATTTTGCCATTTTCTTTATTTTTATGCTGACATATACGGCAACCCGGCTGACAAGTTAAAATAAAAAAATAATAAAAAAAAGCTAGTTCATAATTGATCCAAGGATTATGTTCAAGGCTAAGCAGTGAAACATCCAAGCTGCTTTTTTTCCCAACCTTTTCTCTTCATAAGAGAGAAAAGATTGCATCTCTGCTCCTTAAGTGGAGGCACTAAGCTAAGGGCAGGACAGGTTCTAGGATAGCAGTACAGACATCCCTGTGTGGTAAAATAGCAGGTTGTGATGGTGAAGTCATCACTCAAGGAAAAGAATGCAATGATTATATTTGAAGAGCAAACCCCACTGCACTTATTCTCACTACCTTTTGGGAAGTTAAAAAACAAATCATTGAAGGAGTTTTCTGAGACTAAGGGGCTACTTTTTTCTCTTTCATCAGGAAGAGTAGACAGGATCTCCACTTGTTTGGTTTTTTTTTTTCTTTAAATAAGGAGCTACCACCTTCTCTTAGGTTGTTTTAAACACCTGCAAAACTTCTTCCTTTAATTGTGCATTTTACTGATATATTATGAACACACCAGCACACTCATGGCCCTGCAATACAGTATACTTCCCCTTACCTTTCCTGGACTTGGTGCCTTCCCTCTTGGTCTGCATTTGAGGGCTTTGTCCATCATCCACATTTACACCAAAGCCAACCATTTTTTTCTCTGAACTGTTCCCATGACTGCTCCCTGGTTTTCTGGAGTTTTTGCTCACTGGAGATGTCCTCAGTAAATAATCTTCATGTTTCAACACCGGGACACTGGAGGAAAGAAAGACCGTGCTGTTACATGATGCATTTGGCCCTTTAACACTGCACCCAGCTCTCTACCAACTTTTACTCTCCAGAAGCATAAACATAATGCTGCTGGTTGAGCTCTTGTTGAATCCATTTATAATTTCTGAAAGCAGAATGCCTAAGGCTTGAAGAGTTACCAACACACTTTATCAGGAGTCTTTAGTTATCAGCAGCCAGCAGCACCCTGACAACTGTATTTGGAGTTTTGCAGCATTGGGCACATTTCCTAAAGCATTAGGTCCTGGATTTCTCAAGTGGTTAGAACAGCACCAGTAGGATGAAGACATGCAAATGAAGATGAATACAGATTTTGTCCAGCACAACGGGCTAAAATTGGTAGAAAGAATAATTTTTTTAAAATATTCACTTCACTAGAATACAGGGAAAACAAAGAAGATTATGTGAAGAGAAATCTGAAATTTTAGTTTGCAAAAGGGAAGCAGATCACAGAATCCCATAATCATTTTTATTGGAAAGGATTTCTGAGATCATCTGAGTACAACTGCCAAGGCCACTGCTGAACCACATCCCCAAGTACCAAATCTATATGTTTTTTTTAAAGCCTCCAGGGACAGTGAGAAGCTGATTCAAGAAGAAAACGGATGAGAAGAGAGGAAACCAAGAGGTGAGATTGATGAACAGAGGTACTTTTAAACATTATAGAGAATGTATGAACAAACTGGTGGGAGAGAATCTGGTGCAGAAGTGCAATACTTTGAGTAAAGTAAGGAAAGAGAAATCAGAACCACTATGGTTCAAGACAAACTTCAACACACAATCATAAACACTGCATGGATAGAGGCAGGAAGCAAATCTGGTGATGGGGAGCAATTATGACCTCAAGCTTTGCAGATACAGGTATCTCAAAATGTTGTGGGCAGACAGGAGGAAGACCCACATTTCTCTCAGTAAAGAAAAGCTACTGCTTTCAAATTCTGAAAATTTGGGAAATAACTCTGGGAAATAACTACTGCTTTAAATAACAATTCCCAACATATGTAAGTCATTAGTCCCTGTCATAAAAGGTTCCTTTATAAAAGAAATTAAAAATATTAAAAAAATATTTGTATTATCCACATGAAATGATACAATTCATTCCAAGATCATATTGATCTACTTGCAACCATGGAAGCAAAAAACAGCTTTTTAAAGTTATTAGAAGATTAAAAAAATCTTAACAGCTGGATTCTGTGAACTTAGAGGTCTTTTCCAACCTAAACCATTCTATATTTCTATGATACAACTTCTTCCTGTTTAAGCACCAATTTTACATTAGCAACCCAAAGACTGTCACTGAGCTTTTATTAGTTACGATACAGCTTTGTGGAGACGGAATCACAAGAATGTTTTACCTAAAAGCTTGCACTGACTGAAATTACTGTAGATCTGAGGAAAAAGCAGGAAATGATAGCTAAATTAGAAGTTTCCCATCAATGTGCTGTATAAGACATTGTTTAATAGGGCCCACTGAGCCTGTTGGGCAATTAGAACTACTCCTGTATTGGTAATGCAGAACAGTATATAATGGCTTGTGACCTATAATAACTGACTGAAGTGTTGGATACAACTTCTCCAAATAACCTCCGTTTACTTTAGGGCTTCTAACTGTGTGGCTACTAATAATACTGCAAAGTATTTTTAAAATTTATTGTGAACTAAATTAGTACCTTATTTGAATTATATAAAATTATTACCCTACTAATTCCTGCAACTACAAGAGCTCCAAGAGGTGGTTTTGGAACCTCACAACTGCTTAAAGAGGCTTAAAGGTGTAATACATGACCAGATTTCTCTGATAAAATAGGACCTGATATTCCATTTGCCTGGACTTGGGATGATTAACAGCATTTTAAAAAGCAGAGAGGCTGTCATTATTTGGATGCTTTTTGAGCTGTTTAAAGCACATTTGACTGCAACCTATAGTCCTCATGTGAAGACAGTGACCATTGGCTTTTAGATAAGGAGGGGATTACTCAACCGGTTCTCCTTCTAAATGCAGTATCTTCTATGGTGCAGTTAGCTCTATAATACTGAGTTCTGTTTTAAATACTTCATTGGCAGACACAATTCAAACAGAAACAGACACTAAGAAGAAATGACATAAGCTAAGGTATAATACATAACAAAAGCAAGTGTATTTGCATTTATAACCTTACTAAACAACTAGAGCCTCATTGTTTAGTATATAATAGAAGTCAGCTCATTCTAAAGTTTTGCTTAAGTAAGGATAGAGTCTCAAATTTTAAAATGACACTTTATCTGAAAGCTGTGGAGACCAAGTAGAGAAAGGGATAATGTAGAGAAATTTAAAAAAGAAGTAATTAACTATCTAGCACAATTAAACAAAGAAAACATAAGGAAAAAAATCTGTTTCAGAACATAATTACTCATTCACCTCTGGAATAATTAGTAAAACGAATGATGTGACTATTACAACATGGAAATTTAAACTCAACATATGGTCAAAAGGAATCGGCTATTTATGTCTGGAGAGATTTAGCAGCAAAACAGATTCTTGTCTATTTTCAAACCCAACTACCCTGCATGTCACTCAAAGGCACCATGGTTAGTAGGACTTCCTGCAGGTCACCACAATAACCAATGAGTTTTCTTGGCACTCCTTGGTAGTTACCCAACAGAGAAGACCATCTAAATAAAGACCTTATTAACCTACCTACCCTACATACCAGGGCAGGCTATGTAGTGTGACCAAAAAAGAAGCAAATCTCAACACTGCTGCCTCATTATGAATATCCAAGTACACCATCACCAAGACACACCTTGAACATTCCTTCCATCCTGTCTGAGCTTCATATCGCGATATCCCCACTGAGCACAAATGGCAAATTTTAAATGTCATTCAGGATCCATTGAATACTGCTAGTATTTTCATTCCTTAAAAAGTAGAAAAACATTAACCTTTTGTTTTATTGAATTAAAATGCCATGGAAATGCTGATGTAGTCTTCAGAGACTGAAATACTTTTACAAAGAAGAATAGCTGTCATTTATTAGACACAAAGAACAATTACTTGATAGGATGCTTTCTGACAAAAAGCAGATTGGTATTCTCATCATAGAAAAGGCATTGTAAAAAACCCGGCACAGACCTCTGAGACTTGAATAATTTAAAGCTGCATTTGGTGCAATTTGAATTTTTCTTTAGGGAGGCAAAGTTAAATACCTTTAATTTGTTCTAATTATTTCAAATTTGCAAGTTAATTATGGCTGATCATTAAATAACAAAAAGGACTATCGTCTCCATAGAGTTTTACCTCCTACCCTCTGCATTACTTAAGCTAGATTTTAGTATGCATGAATTAACTTTCTAAATAATCACACGGTTTGACTAAATGGCTCAGTAAAATGAGCTCTGATCCTCACAATAAGCATTAATGGACATTAGAAAGGCTATTGGGACCCATGTTACTTACATTATAAGTATTTTTAATGGAGTCTTATTTACTAATCTTTATGTACTGTTCAAGTTAGGGCATCATATAGATTCATTATTCTGCTTTAATAGAGGAAAGTCAGTTCTTCAAGATACTACAATAAATGTTCACTTAGAGCCAACTAAATTCATTTTTAAACTAATGCAGGAAAACTCTGATAGAACATAACTTGTTTTTGCTGCTGATCCTGATGAATCAATCCAACATAATGTTGTTCTGCAAATGGAGTTTTGCAGATCTGTTGAATCGCTAGGCAACCCAAGCAGCTCAGGCTCTTGCCAGAGTCGTGCTTACTATCAGCGTGTGATTTACCTCGCCCACGAGGCTTCCTCTCTTCCCTGCTCCTAACCCAGCATTCAGCTGACTGGGTTCCCAGTCTTCAATGCCAGGTTTGGATGCTCACCTTCCACTGAACCCTGATCTTTCCATGCACTTTTCAGTGCAGATCAGTGGCATTCAGAGAACAAGACTGTTGTAACTACTCAGAAACCCAAAACGTGAGGCAATTCATGCCTCCACTATGTATGTTCAACAGATGGCTGCCTTAATGGTACCCTACTGCACTCTGCTGAGGCAAGGGCTTGCGAGTTTAACCATTATCAAACTAACAGATTGCTGTGGTAGGTTAGCTCCAAAAGCAAACATGTTGGAATGTTATTTTTCTGTTTCATAATTTCTGTTTTAAAAATAAAATAATTAACAGTTCATGTGTGCATCTGCTGCAATTATATCAGGCCAAGAATGCATAACACTTAATGATGCAAAACTGGTGATAAGTAGACAACCCAAGCAATACGTTTTTGTAGCTGGAACCTGAATTGCCATTTCAGATCCAGTTTGACAAACAGGCTCAAAATTGTTTCCTCCCCTGCCACTTTGGCTGGGAGTGTTTTCCTCCCAGATCAGTTTCCAGAGTCAGTTCAGTATAAAGCAGCAGCACTACAAGCACTGGGACAAATAAGAAGATGCTAGGATCTTCTTTTCAGTAGGGTCTAAATTTAGATCAGTTCACATCAAGCTTGTTATCAAACAACACTTTTGAAAACCACCCATTCCAAAGTGGGGCTGCTTGGGAGGTTGTTTTTCTGCATAGCAAATAAAAAAAATATTTCTGGGGAGAAAAGCAGCACTGTAGACATTGGATGTGTGGATCTGAAAGGCAGTGGTCTGTTCACAACAATCGCAACTTTTCCAGTCCCCTTAAGTGGAGCTGAGGAGAAACACATCAGAACATATGAGCCAACAGAGCAGCACATAGGAAAAAAAAGAGAGATTGATCTACTGCTTTGTGCAGGGTGCACAAATCCACAGGAGAACTGAGCAGAGATGCAGGGGAGGTAAGAGAGATGCAGGTGAGGAGGAGAAGCACTGTGTGAACTTCATGGCAATCTCTCATCCCTGAATGCCATCACCCTTCCCTTCCTAAAATATGCTTTTTTAGCTTAGCATTTTTTCTCCATTTAAGAAGCAGGAAAAAGTCCTATTCTAATACACACCTTGAAGACCATAT